AAAAAAAAAAAAAAAAAAACCCTGATGCGTAAGTTAAGCAGCGTAACTAGTTACTATTACTTGCTAAGATAAAAATTTATTAAGAAGTTTTGTTTATTTGACTGGCTGGGTAGAGTGTAGTGCAATAACTCGGCGCAAATCTGCATAAGCTGTGGGTCTCTAGGTCGTCACTTTTGGTCAAGGCCCGACACAGGGGGGTCAAGAGTCACGTCCTAAGTCTAAGAAAAGCCGGGCCAAAGACCTAAGGCCAAGGACCCAAGGGGTACCCAGGGTAGGGCCAAAACCAGCATTCAGAGGCCCTTCGAGGAACAGTCGACTTTGAGGAAGTCAACGGTCAACCCCAGCACTGGAATCCAGGCCCAGAGGTCAAAGTCGACCCGCTGGTCAGCCGCGGCCGTAGATCAGATGCACATCATTGGTTGTCTCCGGGTATCCGGAAGAATCCGGTCGAAGTGGGACACGCGGAAAATCTGCATCTGTGCAGCATCCAGGCCATTGGCATCTGATTGATCTGGGCCGTCGACCCCAGGAGCCCAGAGGCTGGTCAACGTGAGTCAACACGATAAGCTGACCCAGCCCCTGCTTGGAGATCATTCAGCCTTGTGCATTCTGCCTGGCACTGGCTTGTTGCTGGTGCGACGAAGCAAGGCTGCTGGAGCTTCATGCTGGCGCCAAGATTCTGAGTGTGGACCCCAGCCTTGAGGGAGATTATGCTGACGAGCCTGACGTGGCGATAGCCACATTGATTTCGACATCGATAGGAGTGTGGGCAAGGAGGAGGAGGATCCGTACTGTGAGGTTGATGTGTGCGATGAGGGGAAGCTTACATGGACTTACCTGTGACGTCGTGTGTGCTTTGCTGCTCGTCTCCAAGAAGAAGATCTGCACCATCCTCCTTGATTGCTGCTGACGTGGATGGAGGATGGGCGCCCTGTTGTGACCTGATCATTGTATATGTCAGAGATCGTCAGAGGAGAACTCTCTATTGCTGACGTGGCGAGTGAGGGAGATGCCCAAGGAGGAAGTGGGCTAGGAGAGGGACCTTTGCTCTTGTGGGAACTCTCCTCCTCCTCCTCCTCTCTGTCTATTCTCCCCTTCTCTCGCTTTCTTCTCCGCGGTTCAAGACATTGGAAGATCGCATGTACTTTGCGCATGGATAGATGAACTATTTTTGGAGACATTATTGCTGCGCTGAGTTGGACTTGTATCACGGCATTCACAAGGCTTAACTTCTCATCTCTTCTATTCCGGTGAAGACTCGTACTATCTGGACTGAAACTTTCGCACCCAATACAGCTATCATGCCGGTTCATTGCAGTAGTCACCACTATGCTCGAATTTTCAACATGGACAAGTTCATTGCACCTACCGTCTTCACCGCAACAAAATGACCGGCATTATAGCTTATATTGGCTGCGAAACTTTCAGTCCAGATAGTACGTCAATAGTCACCGGAGTTCTGTTCGGGTGAAGACGGTAGGGGGTAACTACTAAAAACTACACCTCAACAAAACAGCTACAACAAGTTAATTACACCTGCCGGCGGTATGTAGCCGGTGAGCGACTAGCTCCTTACATAAAAAGACTTGTTCAGTTTACCTGGTGAGTGACTTGCATAATGTTGGCCCGACATCCGTTTCTTTTTAACTGTTTCTAACGGCGGCAGAAAGGAAAAGAACCACATTTACCGCAGAGAAATAAGGAACGAGAAGTAGCCCTGTCAAACTACTGCTGGCCTTTTTCAATTCCCACATGTCAACGGCTGGTACCGCTTGTAGGCTACCGTCTTCACCCGAATAGAACGCCCTCGTCGCCCTGTCATTATAGCCGTATCTGGTACAATTTTCAGTCTAGGCACAGCGATAATGACCAGGCGTTGTATTCGGCTGAAGACGGTAGTACCTTTTGTGATGCTTTTTTTTTTTCAAGGTATAATTTAGCGCCTCTCTTGCGTGTCGATATCCTGCAAGAGCTCTCCCAGGCCCTCAAATCCTCAGTGACTTTACCTGCCACTCCGTGATTTCTAATTTCCCTTCTGCTAGTACCTGTTCTATGGTAACCCTATATACTCTCTCTGGTCTGGTGTTTCCCCTCATTCTCACCCATTCCCCCGGTGTTATTTCATCTTTCCTCGACAAGTCTATCCAGTCAGGGTGAATGGCCTCCCTCTGAGTCAGTTCTCCCACCCTTCGCCGCCTTCTCATTCGTTTCGTCCATGCAGTACCTCCACCTTCTCATTGTCGGGGTGCCAGTCCTTTCCTCTCTTCATCCCCATTGCAATCAGACTCGTTTTCAAACACACTTTTCACACATGTAAACAGTAACGCAGCACACTGGCGACATGCGCCCACTCAAAACTCAGAGATATGG